TAGATATTTCGAAGTAACAACAGGGGTTTTACAAAACAACATCTCAGCTGGGGTGACATTTCACCTCTCAGCATCCCATTCCCAGAGCAGTGTGCAGTGAGACCAGGGCCAAGATACAGCACAGCTGTTAAAGTTGCTGCTGATGTTTCCTAATTTCTGGAAAATGGCTACTAAAAGATTCAGCTATGCTTTCAAATCTCTATGCCAAGCCTGGGTTCCAAATAAGGTAGCAGGAGCTGAGTATTACACTTCTCTAGCTGACTATGAAAATATGATGGACACTTGATTCTCAAAGAAATGGAGCAATGTTATTACTAAGTGATGGATTTTACGTGATGCTATGTAAGAAAGCTATAATTTTTAGCTATCAGTGACTGGTACCTGACGTGTTGTTTTTCCTTCAGGTGAATCATTCTGGTTATAAAATAGGATTTTCCTGCTAACTGGAAAGTGTATCACTTGGAGTGTGATAGTGTATCCAGTGGAGCCTTGTTCCCCTCCTCGTGACCCTGCAGCATCCTCTTGGATGTCAGTAGGAGGTATTCGGCGCAGTGGGTGTTCTCATTACCACTTGACATTTTGCTGTTTGTTTTTCTGCCTGTTGCTATTTAATGATTTTAATTCTTTCTCTTTGCCAGTCCCAGAAGCCGTTTATCAACCAACGTACTATTAGTGCTACTTAACAATATTGACATAGTCACTAGGAAAAGAGTTTCATTTCCAAACAGTACTACAGCATTCCCCCTCGCCATCTGCTCCTGCCACGTCCCTCACTCGCCTTTCCCAGTTAACCCCTTGCTCTGACCTCCTCACCCGTTGCCCTTGGGGAGGGTGGCACGGGCTCTGCATGGCTTTGCTTGAGCTATAAACCCCCCCTGAGGCTAAAACAGACTGCAGGTCACTAACGGCAGTGACATGGGTGAAGGTTTTGGCTGATGTCATGATGATGGTTTTGGCAAATTTTGAAGAATTTGGTGTCTGTTTGCTTCGCGGAGGCAGGGACAGACAAAGAGCACAAGCACAGGAAGCATTGCAGGCTTTCTGTCTTTAGCCTGTTTATCACAGGCACTTCCCAACTCCCGTTAGTGCCGGTCTGGATGTCTCACAGCGTTTAATGTAATATCTCAGATAAGACTGCAGAGGGAAGATTACCTTTTGGGAGAATGGAGACATCAAGACTGAGGATGAGATTAATCTTGCTGAAGTTAATCTACCAAAAAGATAGATTGCCAGTTGATATTAATCGTCCGTGCTTCCCTCTCTCCAGTGGGGAGGCAGGCATATCTCCCAGGGATGATTTACATGACTCTAATCACTGGGCAACCCTTACTGTTAAGTGGCAGCGAGAGGCCAGGCTAAGAAGGATACTCAGCTTTATATGAGCTCAGGTGGAGGCCAGACAAGTTCATGGTAGCAAAACTCTTTGCAAGTTACTAAATCCATAGCAACAGCATTTGGGTTATGAACTTCCTAAGATGAGAACAGTTGGAGGCTGTGAATTGTTAAGGGGTATCAGACGTGCTTGTCCTGTTGTGTTCTTACTCCTTCCTAAGCATCTGTTTACAGCTACTGTTGGACCTAACACACAAGATAGATGGACTTTCTATCTGACACCACACCACGTGGCCATTCCTGTGCTCTTATGTGAGGCCATTTTAGCAGTGAGGAGAGGGGAATACACATTTAGAAAGAGACCGTTTCTGCAAACAGAAAATTGGCAGTAAGGTTTATTTCCAGATCTGCGGTGAAGTGCTACTGACCTACAAACAGTAAAACTGGAAGTCAGTTTTACAGAAAGAGCCTGTGCCAGGTGCTGAACGTCAGTGCTTTGTATCAGGTCACCGCAAGCCTTTCGGAGATTCAGATGAGCTGTTTCACCATGTGTTCCCCTCAGATGGTGCAAACAGCTTGTTTGAGCCTTAGATAGTACAAGGAGATTCAGATGTGACATCATTTGCAGTGTGGTGTGTAGTCGCGCTGCTACACGAATGCCCCCTGTCTCTGTGACAGCACCAGGTGGACTAACAGGGTGGAAGTTTGTCACTTCAAGTAATTCATTGAGAACACGGAATGCGTGGCCCAAAAACCAGGTATCACTCACCAGAACGGTGCTCATGACCTCCCACTGCCTTGGGCACATGCACATATATGCGTACCTTTATATTTTGGATGGTCCTTCCAGTTGAAAGATTTTGCAGAATTGACCATCCCAAGTGCTGATACCCTTAAAATGGTTTGCTAAGGAGGCAGGGGCCCTAGGTTGAGCGTTTTGCTGCCAGTATGGTAAGTGTATGCTTATCATTTGCTGCGAAGATCTTTAACTAGTGTCTCCGTAGCTGTTAAAGGGCAGCATCACTGCGTAAATACACTTATGTTTGAAGTCAGAATTGCCTTTTATGGCGACCTCTGTATAAAAACAAACCCTGATTAAACTGAACAATGTTTTCCTTATCAAATCCCAAGACATAAAAAAGGCCAACGGAACTGGATTCAAAACATCAAGCTGAGCTTGTTGTGAAATGGAAGCTTTTGCTCTTTTTAAAGTGCACTCTGTGTTGAAACTGGAAGCAGAAATCTGTGATGCAGGGAGAATGTATCAAACTTGACTTTTGCAATTTCCTGTTTGGTTTCTTGCAAACTGCCTTCGTCTAATCGTATTTGATCTCAAAGATAATTTTATTTAATGTGGATTAGGTATTATGACATATCCATTGTGGTCTCTCATCATTCTCTGTTTCATTTTGAATGTGACATGGAATTTTCTAGAACAGATAAAATTTGTTCAGCAGTCAGCTTTGAAAGAGAGTCTGTCTTTTATAGCTCTGTAAAATGTTGTGGATTGCAAGCCAAAAAAAGTTACTTCATTCTCAAGCTTCTCTAATTCTTCCCTCTAATTTGTAGATTAGAGTCACTACTGTGGAGAGGAGAGATGGTTTATCCTCAAATCCTCTCCTGTTTATCAGCCTCCCCGGCAAAGCTGCGCACAGCCAGGAGGGGTGTAGTTTGGTACCAAAGGGGAGTGGTTATTGGGAGAGTCAAAATGTGATGCAGGAGTTGAAGGATAGGGTGTTAAAGGAGATTCATTTTTCAGCCCAGTGAGTACTGGTTACAATAATTTAGGGCTGATGGTATAGCAGCCTTCTGTGATGTGGCTGAACGAAGACAAGGCTGGTTCCTCTGTTATTCATAGGCATATGACTTCAGCAGTACTGTTGAAGTTATGATAGTTCTACTGCTAGTGTAACAGCAGGAAGGATTTTTTATTTTGTTGTTCAGAGCCAGAGGGTTTCAGCTGTAGAAGAAAGCCCTATTGAGAAAGGCAAAGAATAATAATGCCGAAACCCCAAAACCACTTACAAGTAGGGTGTAAAACAGGAGATTGCAATTGCATCCAAAGGTTGGAAGGTGACAGCAGCAGCATGGATACCACCGTGGGGAAGGAAAGGTTGGTTGGCGTTGAAGAAAGGATGTTTCTTGAGGACATTCTCAGACTGTTTTCAGCATTTCTTGAAGCATTGGATTTCTACCAGATCTGAGAATATAGGTAGAATGCACTGGTGTCTAAGTTTTACTCATTGCTCAAGATCAAACCAGTCATCAATGCCATGATGGAATTTTTCCCTTCTGGTCAGGCTGGCAGGGAGATTTGACCATTTTGGTTTTTTTTCCCCCAGTAAAGCCATGGGTTTGGTCTACCTACCTACTACAATCCTCCAGGAGTTTTAGCTACTGAGTACCACAGAGTCCTGGGGCTTAAAAATACCCACACTGCTCGTGCTCTTCCCGCAGTAAGAAACAGCAGCAGTTCCTGAGGTTGCTGAGCAGATCTTTGGCATTTTACAGGGTATTCAGAAGTGTGTCTCCTGAGCATTTATAAATAAGTGAAGTAGATGGTCTGCAGCTTTTCCTTAAGCAATGTCTCTACCTGCATGAAACTGTCGACCCTGCACTCGACAAGCCAGGGGAGACTCTTCCAGATCTGCCTTCCCAAACATACAGGGACAAGGATGGAAGCAAAAAGCTTTTGTATGAACCTTTTTTTAGCAGTAGATGGTCTTAGTACTGCAGTAGGTATCCTTCTCTTGCCTGAATGAGGAATCCATACATTTGCAGAAGGATGTAATTTTACACCTCTATGTAGAGGGTAAAATAGTTGTTGAATCACAAAGAATATGTGTTGTGTTATAGGGTGAAGTTGGAAAGACAATTGGAACTTGTATAAGGATGAGGTTAAATCATTCCTTTTTTTCTTTAACTTTTCCGTATTCCTGTATTGAATAACTGCTGTCTTACTGAGAACTTTTTCCTGGTACCAATGAGGAATCCACTAAAAACACCAAAGAAACTTCGTCCTTCTCATTAAGAAAAGTCTGGAGTTGGAGAATTGTTGGAAATCTGCCACTTACTTCATTGCTATGGAGCCTTTCAAAACCCAGTTTGAAGTTTTCCATTGTGTAGATTTATAAATCCTGGGTCATCGCAGTGGTGTGTTTTGCAAGTGCAGTTAGTGCACTGAGTACACACCACCTGTTTTACAGTAAGAACTTTTGCAATTCATATGTTTTTGCATGATCTCTACATAAATCAAGGGTTCAATTCTGAGTGATGCATAAAAGGAGAACAAATTCTCTGCATCACATCCTCGCTGTGCTTGCTCGATGCCTTACGGCAGTGTGATACCATTGCTGGTAGTCACAAAACGATCGTGTTTCAGTAAACTTACATTTTGGTATGTGAGTGCTTTGTGGATAGCTGTACCTCTTCTTTCTAAACGCATATAATTACTTAAGTTGACTTGGAGCCTGCGTGCTAGCTCTTACGTATATTTCATGTGATATACATAGGTTTTCTGCAATAATATTGATTCTAACAGATATAGAAGAAATATTGTAAAGCAAGTGTGTGTCTGTGTGGTGTTCCTGACACGTTAGCACTGTGTACATGAAGTCTCAGTAGTTTTGCAGGTTTGCTAGTGGTTAGTTTTTTGTAATGACTTTGAGATGAAGCAAATACAGATATTGGCCTTCCTAAATCTGATTTTGCCATATCTTTCTTCACAGCTTCCTGTTATGGGAGGAGCCTTTATGGACTCACCCAACGAGGACTTTAGTACAGACTACTCCTTGTTTAACTCATCAGCCAATGTCCATGCAGCTTCTTCCATGCAGAATCCACCAGAAGAGACATCCCGTTCTTCAAATGATGCCATATTGTTATGGATTGCAATCATAGCAACAATTGGAAATATTGTGGTTGTGGGAGTGGTGTATGCCTTCACCTTCTAGGATGACTGTCACTCCAAACACTGGAAGAGAGGATAACTGCAACAGTATTTGTCATGTGTATGTATGTATGTGTGTATATATACATGTATATCTATATAAATACGTATAGGTAGGGACTTTGTTGACTAAGTGCTGCCACAATCATGGAAATGAAATGTGAGTTAATCAGCTTGAATCTTGATGGCAGAAAGTTTGGATGCAATTGGAAATTGTATGGAGCTTTATTTAGGAACAGAGCTAATACGAGTTTTGTATAGATATGTGATAAAAGAGAGACCAGCGTGGGTATAGTAAATACAAAAAGAAAGTGAAATTTATATAGAAAGTGCTTATTTTCTACTGTTTAGATTTTTCTAGCAGCTCTTCTGGGTTTTGTCAGCCTTTTTGTGCATTTTTTACTGTGGTATAATGTTGTATGAAATTGTTCTAGGTCATATTTGCTGGACGTGTTAGTTTTTCAGATGGAGTGAATGGTCGGCATTGGCTCAGTTCTGATGAAGTACAAGTTCATTGTGCGTGAGTCTTCAGCTCGTGCACACGCTGCTAGGCTGTGCTCAGAATCATGAAGCCTGACAGGCAGATGCGTGCTGTCTGACTAACGCTTGCCTTCCAGTGTCAACTACTGGATCTGATAATCTATGAATCGATGCTAAACCTGTCTGCTGTTTGCAGGAGGAGGCACAGCTATGACAAGGTGTGGCTGGTCTGCAGACCCTCTGCACTCCAGACAAGGAAGTGTTAAACAGAGCAGCAGAACAACCTCCCATTTCTGTCAAGAGGTGTTGTGTTTCGGTGGTTTGTAGATGTGTCCCTTCTAGGAAACAAAGGCCAAATACCGTGCTTTTCAGCTCATTTCACTGTAATCCAGATTTCCTGCAGCAGCCCTGTACTTTCGTAAGCTTATTGGTGTATCAAAAGAATGTGGTGAAATTGCAAAGCCTAATTAACAGTGAATTATGTCTATGAGAAAAATAAAATTGAAAGAAAGATTGGACACTTCTGTGCTCGTGCGGGAGTGAGTGCAAGAGTCAGGTATGTCCCGGGGCAGAAACAGCACACAAAAAATGTAGTAAGTGACAGAATGCAAGCTTATGTTTCAGTAACATACTACTTATGTTTCAGTATTAATACATCTCAGTGTTCTGATGAGGCTCTGGAGGTGATTTTTATATAGCCTGCTTTAGGTAACGATTCCGATTATCATTTGAATTTGTCCTGTTGAAGGACATTTTCACTGCATTGTTCCCACAAGCAGTTCCTTTTCAAAAGCTGTATCTTTTCAAAACAAGCTGTAGCCTTCCTTGTTTCATAGATCATAAAATCTTGAGGAAAGACTTAGGAAAATCACCTCTGTTGGAAATCTCCCTCTTCCCCCTTAAAAAATAGACACAAATACATAAAATGTCTACACTTTGAAAGTAGCAGACAAATTCTTCCTCTATGTCTGCATGTAATCTGTAGGTTTTCTGTTTCTTACAGCTCCTACTCTAATTCCAGAAAGCCTTGTCTGCAGGCACAGAGACTATTTTTGACACTTGCCTGCCACTGAGCTTGAGGCTGGACTAAGAACTGCTGAATGTATGGAGAGGTTTGGATTTTCTTCTTTTCTCTTTAAACCCATTTTCCTGCAGGGCTGGTGGACAGTTACTTGAATCCAAGCAGCATGCCCTAAATCAGTATTTATAACCACTCAGTAGTTACTGTGTCTATTTTTTTCTCTCTATGAACTGGCCTTTAAAGCTGGGAAAGATGCAAACAGAGCTAGCAGGGGGGAGAAAAGAAACTAAGAGTTCTTTTGAGGATGAGAACACCAAGGACAACTCACTTGAGGAACTGAGCTTCTGTGTGTGTAGTTATTTCCCTGTTTGGAGGCAGGATTTTGTGAAGATGGTTGAGGACAAACGAGATCTGTGCTGGGAAAAAAGTTTGAGGAGCTCAGTTCTGGAAGATGAGCAGCACAGAAAGCAAATTCTGTGTAATGAAGTAGTTGTAGTCTTAAGAATGGTACAAAAATGATGATTTTTCACTGTCCTAAAATAGTTATTTGTTCCTTCATAAGTCAGAGGATAATAAAAAGCAGGGAACCTGCATAAATTGTGTACCTTTCTTCTTACACTCCTCCTTATTCTTGCTGAGCAGAAAGCAGGCTCTGAAGTGAGGTTGGTAGGTTGCAGAGAAGTTTCCAATGCAGAATTGAGCAGGACAAGGTCTGATGTACAAACATATAGGACCTGTGGAACTATTGCTTAATGGAATGTACTGTCCCCAACCATTTTCTGATATTCTGTTACCTTTTGATTGTATCAGTTACTCGTGGACTTTTCTTCAGTGTTTCTGCAGGCTCTCTAGTTAGGCCAGATCTTGCAAGCACTGTTTTTGCATGAAGAGCAAAATATTTCCACCATGATTAAAACTAGTTTGACACTATGGTACTTGCCCAACGGGATTATTTACTGCTTAATGAATTTGCTAGCTGAGTGCTTAGATTAAATTCCCTGTAATATTAATCTTAGTGCAATTAGCAATGTTTGCATCTCTCTCCCAAAGCACTGGACTAAGTTCTTCACCCATGAAGAAGAGCATTAGAGCGGGAACAGCAAAGAACCACAACTCTGCTAATGTAACCTAGTGACACTTCTGTGTTGCTTTTCCCAAAGAAAGTGCCCTACTTTCATGTGAAATTGATAGTAATAGCAGGAGCGTTGGAAAACAATGAGTTCTGCCTCTGTCATCCAGATGATCGTCATGCATATTTTCATCATTAGAGGCTGAGCTGTCAAGAAGGCACAGATAGAACTTTAAATAAAGTAATTGTCTTGACAGGGTGACATGGCAAACTGTGTGCAGGCAGCAAGTGCAGGCATTTGCTATCTCATTGTTAAATTGCACACTAACTGTGCAGCTTTTCTGTTGGGGAAAAAAATAGTTTGGGGATGCAGGTACAAGGATACTGCATGTGAGAGTCTGTACAGAATATTGTCAGGTGTATTAAAGATCCCTAAATTGCAGTGGACAGAACGGGTTCAAATGCTGATCTACTTTGATAACAATAACATGCACACTACTGTGGTTTTGGATGTTGGTTCTGGCTTAATCCACTACAACCACTTCCATCTTCTGTTGAAAAAGAAGCTCATCCATCATTAAGCTCAGAGAAGCCATAGAGGGGAGTGGAGAAGTTCATGAATGGCAGATGTCTCATGGGTATGGTCCTGTGAAATATGTTACCATTTCTTTTTGTGGGTGTATACTATGCCCTGAACTGTCAATGCAGCTTGACTTGGAGCACTGTAGCTTCTCTCTTCCTCGAAGCCAGGCAGTTGGGTAACTGCTGACACTCACTGAAGGGTGACGAGGAAGCCCAAACACATTTCCCAGTGCTGTGTTCTGAAGCTGTTCTGTAAAAGCAGAAAAGGTCTCTGTGCTTTGCTGAGCACTTTGTGTATCAGCATGAGACAAGAATTTAAAGCACTTACAGATCTGTGCTTTAAATATAAGCATCTAGCCCAGGTAAGTTAGAAGATCCTGATTGGAGTTTGCTCTGTAGTAGACAAAGCAAAACACTTTCTATATGCCATGTTAGGCCCCTAAATAAATACCTCAGAAGTAATGAGATCCTCTCTCCAAAACTGTTTGCAATGAGACTTGAGGGTAGTCAGAATCCCACCAAACTGCTGAGCAGCCTGTAATAGCAAGTCCCAAATCAAGAGCGAATAGAAGCAGCCAGGCATTATTGTCTTATCCTGGCACTTACAGATCTGTGCTTTAAATATAAGCATCTAGCCCAGGTAAGTTAGAAGATCCTGATTGGAGTTTGCTCTGTAGTAGACAAAGCAAAACACTTTCTATATGCCATGTTAGGCCCCTAGCTATGTTGTAAACATCACTGTACAAACGCAAGAAGCAACACTGCATGTGCTCTGCAAAGTTATTAATGAGCCATGGGAAGCAAATAAACAAACTGGATGCCCTAACACGTCTCTCCTAGCTATGGTCTCTAGGGATCAATAGCAACGTATCAAATAATTGAACTGTCTCTGAATATTTTTCCTCTGATCAGCCAGCAGCTCAACACGGCAAAAAGACTATGAACAGTTATGGAAATGGGTGTAAAGGCACATTATATAGAAGAACAGAGTAGGGAAGCCCACATAGCTACTCCTGTTATATTTTTATCTGCAGGGCTAGGAGTCTGTGCTGGTCCACAGCATTAACATCCTCCTAAAATAAAAAAGGGGAGGAGGATGTATTTCAGTGTCAACACGATTGCAAACTGAACAAAAATATTTTGAAACTGGTGCAACAACAGCAGTAGAGAGGCTTGCCTGCTACAAATGTGTTTAGCCATTTGAATGGGCAAGTAAACTGATAAATACCTCAGAAGTAATGAGATCCTCTCTCCAAAACTGTTTGCAATGAGACTTGAGGGTAGTCAGCATCCCACCAAACTGCTGAGCAGCCTGTAATAGCAAGTCCCAAATCAAGAGCGAATAGAAGCAGCCAGGCATTATTGTCTTATCCTGTACATAGAATCATAGAATGGTTAGGATTGGAAGCGACCTCGAAGATCATCTAGTTCCAAGCCCCCTGCCATGGGCAGGGAAACCCTCCACTACACCAGGTTACACCAGGTTGCCCAAAGCCTCATCCAACCTGGCCTTGAACACTTCCAGGGATGGGGCATCCACAACTTCTCTGGGAAACCTGTTGCAGTGCCTCACAACCCTCAGAGTGAAGAATTTTTTCCTTAGATCTAATCTAAATCTCCCCTCTTTCAGTTTAAGGCCATTTCCCCTTGTCCTATCACTACATACCCTTGTAAAAAGTCCCTCTCCAGCTTTCCTGGAGGCCCACTTTAAGTACTGGAAAGCTGCAATAAGATCACCCTGGAGCCTTCTCTTCTCCAGACTGAACAGCCTCAACTCTCTCAGCCTGTCTTTATAGCAGAGGTGCTCCAGCCCTCGGATCATCTTCGTGGCCCTCCTCTGGACCCGCTCCAG